CCAGCGGGGCATTGGGGGCGCCTGCTGAGGCTCCTGGAGAAGCCTGTGGCTGCTGGGCCAGCTCGGTGGTGCAGTGACTGGGTGCCGCTGTCCTGGAATCCTCGTCCCAGTGTTCCAGCTGGGCACCTTCCTAACCATCCCCCTCTGTTTCCTCCTTCATCCCCTGTCCTTTTACCCTTCTCCCTTAACTCAGAGATGGGCAACTCTGAACCGGTAGCACCATCCCGACCGTTACCCAAGGAGAAAGCAGTGTTGTCACCTCCCAGGCAACCCCCCCACCCCACCCCGGCATCAAAGCTCAAACTAGCTGACACCTTGTTCTACAAAACCCAGCTCACATCTGCATCACTATCACACAAAAGCCTAGGAAGACCCTTTTTGTAGGACTTCCCAAAGTGGGCCAAGCTGAGGGTACAGCTGGGAGGGGAGGGGTTACTACTGCACACAGTAAAAAGAGAGGTTTGAAGCTTTTTTGTGTTCTTCTGTGAGAGATTAGCTCTCTTCTGAGAAAGAACACTGTGAAAGCATTTTTTCAGGCTCTGCGTTTGTCTAAGAACCTTGAAGTTAGTCCTTCCCTAGGACTGGAGAGTGGGAGATAATTCAGTGCAGAACAGAAGTTTCCTTGCAGGCCTTCATAATCTTTTTGTAAATAGTTTTATTGGAAACACATTCCCCCTCTACACAATTCAAGATCTTTTCATGACACCTCCCCCACCCCACCCACCATCATCTCTCTGGAAGAAAGTCTTCCTCTCTTCCTCTCTCTCTCTTTTCCATTCCGAGGCATTCTGGGAAGTGCCTGACAAATGACAGTTTGTTTTTGGAGCCATTTATCTCGAGTTTGTGAAGCTCAAGTACAGAAGTGTGAATGACAGGTTAGCTCAAAGTGTGTCTAACAGTACTACTGACTATTCTAACAGGGTAGTGTAGTCTGAGGTCGCAGAGGACTAAAGGTCCCACTGGGAAATGAAGCATTCAGTAGATTTTTAAAAAATGGGACATAAACGTGTCATGCTCTTTATCTCACCTTCTAAAAGTTTTAGCCTCTTAACCTTGACTCAAAGCCATGCCTAGACATTCCCTTTCAGTGCCATATTTGTGAGTTCCGTTCTGCCTACACTAACATGAAGCCCCAAATCCTCTGCATGCTTTTGGCCCCGAGACAGCAGTCTAACTAAACAGTTAATTGGGTAATTACAACAAAACAAAGACTAAAATCCTCTTAACTGTTAAAACCAGAAAGAACAGATTGACTTCTACCTATTATCTTAAATCTAAAAAGAAGACAATTAACTGGTTTCAAACTAAGTAGCTTGGCAGAACACTGCCAAATGTCAGTGAGTTTGGTGTTAAACCACATATTATTTCAGAGATAAGTGTTACTTTCTCTTCTCAATCTCTGCTGGCTATGAAATAACTAATTATTCCCAGTTCTTTAAACTGTCAACAAGTATGGGTAGTTTGTTCAAAGGTTCCTCCAAGGAATTTCTGGGCACTACTATATTGTCAGGTTGGTGTAAAAATAAGCAGGAATATATGGTCACGAATTTCAGGGCATGTTACTCACCTACCCAAAAGTTATGAGCTGCATTGTACCCAATGAAGAGCTGTTCATTAAATAGTGCTTAGTAGTTGTTTTATGTAAAATTTAACTGGACAAAGAACATGGATGTATTTGTACAATATATACTTTTAAAAATAAATTCCAAAAGCTTAAACATCCTGGATATGAATAAATTTACTATCTTTGTAGAAGCCCCCAAATATCTCACAGTATAACTGTCATCACACACACACACACACACACACAGGCTCAAATGTCCTACTTTCCCCTACCTTCCTAGCAGAGCAATAGCTATGCATTTAGAATAAATGTTACCTGCTTCAACATTCACAGAGTATGAGTCATGCAAGGTGACTGTGTTGTAGACAAATCATTAAATAGGGAATTCTAAGTCCAAGCTTATTTTGCCTGGGGGAGGCTGGATATATTCTTCAAACCAGTATGATAGTTTAGACTGACCAATGCATAGAACAGTCCAGTTTGGGAAGTAATCTAGGTCACCAAACTTTAAGCAAAGCGTAGCAAGAAAAAAAATGTGGTTGAAAAAAAAAGTGCACAGTGAAGGTAAATGCTAAGATCATGTCATTGCTATCACTTTGGACAGATGATGTAAAACTAGCAAAGAAAGCCACAAACCCTCAAATATATACCCTCACTCAACCTCACACACCAGACCCCGAGACCTGCATGACTTGGTAGGATTTCAGATGAACTCTCATCTAGGAGAATGTTACTGAGTTTGAGTGTTGGTGGCAGAGAGAGTAAGAAGCAGATGTCCTAGACCTTGTTGTGAAGGGGGCACTGAGAATCTACCACAGACCCCTGGCCCTGTCTCCTTGTGGAACACAGCCTCCCTCTCTGCTATGTAACTTTGGGATGAAACAAAACAAGTGAGCCTTGGTAGGAATCAAATCACTTTCCATTTCCTACTCATTTTCGCATCTTTCAGGTGTGCTTTTGCCTTTCACTAAAATGTTTTAGGTGCCCAGACACCTGGCATGCCACTGTTACTTATTTAAATATACATTGTCTTTTAAAGCTACTGGCTTTACATTGGGGCTACCATGGCATTTTGAAAGGAGAAAATAGGGAGAGAGGGGAGAATAAAGGGAGTAAGCCCCTTGTTCACTCCTTCTTCTCATCCTGGCCTCTTGTAGAGAGGGGTGAACCACTAGGGCCCTGACCTCTGCATTTCTAAGCACTGGGTACATGTCAAATGAGGGTGACAGACTCAGACTGCATGGCTGGAGCACCAAACAGGGGTAAGGTTCTCTTTCAACATGCCTGGCTTTAGTGTGCGATTCAATGTGACATGACTTGGCCTTGGCACTGACCTGGGAAGCTTTGGGTACTGAAGAAACGAAACAAGCAGTGCAGTACAGCGGCACAAGAAACACACATGGCATTTCAGATGGGCTTCCGTTATGACTTATTGGGAGAGGGCATTTTCTTTTCAGTGTATTGGGTTGTTGGAAAAGTCATGCATTCTCTGTTTTTCTATGCAAAAAAACACGTCATGACTTTTCTGACAACCTGAGATACCCAAGTTAACCAGTGCAAAATCCAATGTACGGTCATCTCAACTTAGTTTTAACAAGAAGATGACTTTGGCTGTACCCTGAGCCTGTTTTCACCGTAGACAGCATCCATAACCGAGAAAATGCATTCAGAGGGTGTGCTGCTCTCAGAAGGCACTAAAGCTAATCTATACCGTACTTCGCATTTCCTACAGTGAACCGTTCCTTTAAAATGTTCGAACCCAGTCTTCCATGTTTTTGCAATACAAACATTGGAGACTTTCATGAAGCGTTTTTATACATATGGTAACAAGAACAACAACCAATGTTTTCACTCCTTGCACATTTTGGCATCATACCTCAGTCAAACTGACTCATAAGCTTTCTA